CCTTGAGTAGCCTGATCTAGTTGAGAGGCGTCCCTGCCCCTGACAGGGAGGTTGTATTAGATGATCTCTAAGGTCCCTTCCAGCCTGGGCCAGTCTGTGATTCTATAAGAAAAAGGAGTCTGAACTTTATTTGAATAAAGAGAGAGTTCACCGGGATTACCAAGTCCCTGTGAGGTCTCTCAAATTGCTGGAGGATGCAGCCTCCTTTTATCCCAATTTCCTGGCAGCGTGAAACCCTCTCCCTTTCCCCACTGGCTGAGGCACTCAGGAGGTACAGACTCCCCGATCCACCTGTTCCATGTTCCCCCTTAACATGTACCCCCCTTAACAACACACATCGCAAGTTTCATTAACTCCAACTTTGTGCTGCCCAGGGCAGAGAAGGTAATATTCATCGGCCCATGAGCATCTTTGCTGTTGACTTAATTAATAGCTCTGATGGTCAAGGTGTCTCATTATCCTCTCCTTACAGACTGCATCCTGGGGCTCCCTCATTCATGAAGGACACTCTCTTCTTTGTTCCCTCACTAACAAGAACACCCACACGCTCCCTTTCTTGTTTTATCGCTTATTTTAAAGACATTCTACTTTCTTATTCTCTCAGCTTGTACGTACTGGGCTGCTTTCAGCAGAGGGGATCCTGACCGAGCCCTGAGCGGGTGCTCTTTGGAAAGCTGGGAGCTTTGCGAAGGGGCATGGAAGGAGTGTAACTGGTTTCATTGTACATGAGGAGATGATAATTTTAAAAAAGCAGTAGGGTTCACTTTGAGGAAGTTCCTGACTTGGGAGTCGTTTGTGTTTCGCCTTCCTATGGCTTAGAACATCCAGCCTTTGCCAGAGAACTGTCCTCCATCCTGATGCGCTGCAGGGAAAACAAAATAAGGAATGAACATGAACGAAAGCAGTGGGTGGATTGAAGAGGCTGGAAACTGAACTTTTAGGCTCTGGAATGATCTCAGAGGTCTTCTTCAGCCTCAACAGTTCTGTGATTCTGTGTTTCAGGGCTGGTGGGAACGGCGTACCGCATCGTGCTGCTGCAGCCCAGCTCGGCCCTCGCCGCCCTGCAGATGGCCGCCAGCGACAGCGTCACCATGGGTAAGGGACGGCCTCCCCCTCGCCCCAACCCTCACCTCAACTCTCGCCCTGACCCACCCCTCGCCTGGTGCGTGACGTTCACTGGGTCCCTGCCCCAGGGGTGCCGCTTGGCACTCGAGGGGTGGAAGCTGAGAGCCAAGCGCTGACGGGACTGTGAAGAAGCGCGAAGCTTCAGCTGGTGTTTGCCTCTGCTGTTTGCTCAGTTCCGGGTCACAGCGCCAGCAGAGCAGGAGTTCCTCCCGTGTGAGTGATGCTTTCTGCTGGGTGATGACATCCCGGCCGTCACACGGTGGTGGCGGAAGGTCCCCCTGATCGGTGCTTAGGACAGCAGCTGCGCAGGGGGAAGGTGTGGCCGAGGCAGCCTCTGCCCCCCTTGTTCTTTCTGTAAAGACACGGCCTCTGTTTGACGTTTAGATGACACGTTTCTTGAAGTGCAGAGTAAAAGGTACATAAAAGGTACATATTCTCAGTATTTGCAGTACAGGTAGTTTATGGGCAAAACTGTAGTGGAAGCAAGCTTACCTTTTCACATTTTTAGGCATTGCACTTAATAATGACATTTACTGAAGAGCAAACACAGGGTTTTTGACAGAAAAGGAAAATAAATATGTTTTGAGTTTTTTCCCCATCATTCTATATAGACAAGAAGAAGCCATGTAGTTGTCTTGAATTGTTTGGTTTGTGACAGAAAGCAGGCACTGAAGGGACAAGCAGGCAGCTGCTGGGGCTGTTCCCGGGGCAGACCTGCGAGGCTGCAGCTCTCCCAGCCCCTTGGCACAGTTTTCTTCTCACCAAACTCATCTGGCTTTTCAGTCTCATTTAATGGCTGCTGTCACCTCTGTCTCTCCCTGTGCCCTGAAGTGCTCTGAGCTGGAGGCTGGCTCACCCACAGGCCGCACCTGTATTTTTAAGTTGTTCAACTTTAAAAGAGGACTTAGAATCTCCTGTAATCTGTTGAGCTGTAGAAGGTTGTTCTAACGCACTGGGTAATACAATCAGTTGGAATTTTGAGAAATCCTATAATCCTGAAGCGGGATGTTGAATCCTCTCATGAATTCTCACACCTGAGGAAGGGCTTGTCCTGCCTGCTGTGAAGTGGCCAGTCCTCTCAGTCTGAAGCCGCGTGTTTTGCCCACAGACTCCTTGATCCAAAGCAGGGAGCTGAGATACAGCCCTTGGGCTGCGGGTTTTGTTTCTTCACTGCACATCCTAGTCGGTTTTAGGATGAGCGTAATTCTGTTTTCTGCTGAAAAACTGCAGAAGTTTGTAGCCTGAGCTTGTGGTTTGCTAGTTTATTTTAGGGATTGAAAATTTTTAGTCTGGATGTTGTTGTTGTTCCCAAGAAAAGATGAATTTAAATCTGCAGGTGGTGCCCAGCAGCCAGTATCACATTTAGAATCAGAACACGTTGGGTTGGAAGGCACCTTAATGGTCATCTCGTTCCAGCCCCCTGCTGGGGTGGGATCGTTTCATGATCAGGAGCTGTGATTTGCCTGACAGAGCTGTTTCCCACAGTTTGCAGTTACACAGATGTCGGATCTGGTGGGATGAGGTTTGTAACTCAGTGGATGAGACGTTGCCACTTTGCAGTTTCTTAATTTGGTTTGAAATTCTGCCTTTCAAAACTGGTTTACAAACAGGATAATTCACAAACTCCGACCATTTCCCTGCTCTCCAAAAGCTATTTCAAGCCCCGGGCAGGCCGAGGAGCAAAATGCTGGCACAAACCGACCTCAGGGAGAGCGGGTCTGCCGGCGCTCCTCTGCTGGTTTCCCCCGGGGCTGGAGTCGTGGGCGCTCGCCAGCTGAGTTTCGGCACAGAGCTCTGCTCTCAGCTGGGGGAACCTTCTGCAGAGAACCCTGCCCTCCCTTCTCCCCGCCCTGGCTGTTTAGGGACTGGAGGGGCTCTTGTTAAGTCTGAGCGGATAACGAAGCTGGATGCAGAGGTTTGCAGCTTTTTGGACGCCCCCAGCCCACATGCCGGCTGTGGCAGGGAGCTGGAGTCCGGCCGCTGGGGCAGAGGCAGCTGGACCAGGGAAGGAGCCAGGTGGGATGCTGGTGGATGATCGAAAGCAGATCTTGCTTCCTTTTCCTCTTTTCTCCCAGAGGAAGCGTTGCGCGTGCCTCGAAAGCGGGCTGTGTGTGTAATTCTCAGTTCCGTGAGGGATTCCATTTTGCTTTTTTCCCCTCTCGTTTGCAGCCACCCTCGGAGCTGTGTTCGGCCTCACTACCTGCCTCAGTGCCCAAGTGCGAGAGGAGACGGAGAGTCCCTTGGACTATTTCATCGGAGGTTGTGCCACAGGAGCTGTCTTGGGCGCGAGAGGTGGGTGTGGGCAATGCCGGTACTGCAGTGAGCCCTCTCTGCTGTTAGAAACCTTAGTATTGGGGGAAAATGTAAAATAATCTTGATGTCAGGTTAAAGATTCGTCTCAGCATTGGAATTCCATTCCCTGCCGGTTTCCTTTACGCTCCCTTGTACAGGCCTACTGAAATAAATCCTGCTGCAGAAGGACACCAGATGTAACAGCAAAGTGAATCCTAGAATGAAAACCCAGCACTGTCAACTGAGTTAAAACTTGACATTGCAGGATGTGAAAAGCCTGACTGTGGAAATCCATGTTTTCTTGGCAACAAATGTGATCTATTTTACATGGAAAATACAATCTAACATCTGCCTTGTGAGTTCTTGGTGCTCTGAGGGACAAGCTGTGTCTTGCTGCTGTTGTTCCTGTGGCATTTTGTCAGGCTGGATTAGCTCCCGGGGGTGATTGTACAGCTCTGCTTTCCGTCGGCGTTCGGACTCAGTGTTAAAGATGCGAGGGATTTAAGGTGTCATTGTGGTGAAACAGAATTTATCTTTACTTTTTCTAGTTGCTGGGCTGATGAGAGTTGGAAGCAGTGATGGTTATTTTTGTCACTGAAATGAAGGTGGCCTGTGTAAGGAGATGAGGTAGCAGATTAGAGAAATCAATAACTCACAACCTAAAAGCATGAGAAAATGTGATTAAATAAAGTCACTTCTCTGATTTTTCCTGGCAAGCGACGTTGCTGATGGTCAAGGGATTGTGAGTGGCTTGTGGAAGAACTGCGGAGTCTGTTGAGATCTGCTGCATAGTACTTGTGCCCTAATCGATCTTTTCTGGTTTGATGTGTTTGCTCCAGCGCACAGCTACATGACGGGTACCACGGCGTGTTTGGGGTTCGGAATTACGGCTGCTCTGATGAAGATCGGTAACAAGGAGGGCTGGAGGCTGGCGGGCCCTCCCAAGCTGTGACTGTAGCCATCCCTCCCTGCGAGCTGTCTCCTGAGCGCTGTGCGTAACACCATGTGGAATAAAGATACGGTCAAGCCAGCGGTTTTCACGAAGTGTTGATGTCGTCTGGCTGTTAACGGTGATTTTTGCAGAGATGCGGAACAGGCGGAGCCATCGGAGAGGAAGCTTCATCTGCTGCTTCTGCCGAGATTTCCCTGCCCAAGTCACTTTGCTTCCATGTCCCTGCGTTACACGTGCAAACCTGAGGGGCACCAATACCGTTTTCAGTGCGCTCTTTTAGGAGTTCTCGGGAGTTTCCAGTGGGTCCTGCAGGACTTCTGGGCAAGAATCAAGGTTGTGCCGCACCGAGACTGGCAGAAAGGGTTCAGAGTCAAAACTAGTGAAGAGGCGCTCGGCTCTAGGTTGAGGATGAGGAATTGGGGTGGGGGGAGGTGGTACGGATGGCCCACAGTGGGTGGTTTGGGAGCCTGGGGCTCTCTCCCATCAACATTCAAGGAAGTCTGGAACCCCCAACTTCAGGGTTAGACCTGGGGCTGGAAGGGCCCTTCAAGATCTTCCCGCTTGGAGTTGGAGCAGGTTGCTCAGGGCCGCGTCCAGTTGAATTTTCTGTGCAAACTGAAGCAAATGAGAAGAGGGGGAAGGGGGGCACAGGATGCGCAGGGAGAGGCAAAAACTGCCTTGTTCAGCCTGGAGAAAAGAAGTTCCGGGGCTGAGCCAACTTTAAATGATGACAGAAAAGGCAGGCTCGGGTACCCAGGGAAGGATGAGCGATAACAAGGACAGGGTGCAGAAAGGGAAGTTGTAACTAGATCGGAGGAAAAAGAGATCTCCCAGGTGGTGTTAGGTAAGTGCTGACAAAAGGGACTTGGAGAGGCTGAGAAATCATCTTTGGGGATGCAGAATTCAGCCAGACTTAGGGAGGTAACGGGGGCAGGACATTTGGAGACGGGTGCAAGTTAACAGAGAGAGAATATGGGCACAGGGGAAGAGGGAATGTGGAGCAGGTGAACACGGGGTGTGAGGGGAGGGGACGTAAGGGAGCAGGAGAGGAGGAGCTTGGAGGACCCAAGGACAGCAGGGGAGGGGATGGTGACACAGGGACACACAGTCACAGTCCTGACAGGTCGTGCTGCTCCCTGGCGTGTGCTCTGCAGGCAGGCCAGGGTCCTGGGGGGCAGGATGGTCCTGGGCCTGCTCAGGGCTGGGCCAAGGGGCTGGTGTCTCCATGTGTCCCTGGCCCTGGGGGACCCCCAGCTCTCCAGTGTGGGGGTCAGTGGGGCCGGGCTCGAGCTGGGGAGCATGGCAGGTGGCGGTAGCAGTGTCACCCCCCTGAGGCTGGGAGCACGGGGGGGTTGTTCCTCTCCCACCCAAGGACTTCGGAGGGGCCCTGCTCCCCCTGGGCTCTGGAGGTGAGCCGGGTTTGTAGGCGGTCTGATAGCC